CACAAAACATGGACTCACAAAACATGGACTCACAAAACATGGACTCACAAAACATGGACTCACAAAACATGGACTCACAAAACATGGACTCACAAGACATGGACTATGAGTTGTGTGACACAGTCTGCATTTGCTTCGCAACTCCGCCCAATACCGAATATATTTTCTCCTAACTAGCCGTCAATATTTCGTGGTATTGTCGTCTCAAATTCGTAATTAGTTTATAAAATAATCTGAATTAAGGTGTGAAAAACCTATGAAAAACCATATTATTGCACCACAACAAAAAAGCTTCATTTGGGCTTGTATAAAATATCTTTCAAGAGGTACCCGTTTGCTCATGATCGTAAAGAGGGAGCCGATCTTTTTGACGATAAGTACCTTAGCACAGTCTGCAGGTCTTTCGACAGTTTGCTCTCACATATTGGTGATAAGAGCAAAGGTTTGTCCATCCTGGACAGCGCATGTCCCTATCTTGGCAAGAAGCTGTGAACAGATAAACCATGGCATGAATGACAATTCGAAGATACTTTACGGACACTTTTAAATTACTTTCATATTATTTCATATTATTTTTTATACTAGTTTAGGTCACCATGCTCTATTTGTTTCATAGACCCAACCTATATATTACGGACACCTCTATGTCACGGACACCTATCAGTTACGGACGCCTGCATATTACTAACACCTCTATGTTACAGACAACTCTAAATTACGGACATCTCTAATATTACGGATAAATATCTAAGTCCCAACAAAATCACCATGCATTCTTTGTTTCATAGACCCGACCTCGACACAAGAGAAAAACGTTTGCGCATGCGTGCACTTCAGCACGTTTTCTAAGAATTTTGAAGAGTTTGAGTGAGAAAATAAATGTTTGTTTTCTCCAAGTATACAAAAAAGTTCGACAGTATACTTTTGTCAGACCAAGATACTGTATTAACAAACACAATATGAAAGAATTAGACTTAAGTTTCAAGCATAGACACTAAGTTTTGGCATTTTGTGAAGTACAATTTATCAGGCATGTTTGAAAGTCGAATTTACTTATGTTTTGACTAATTTGCATACGGATTCAGAGCATGCACAGACGTTTTTCACTCGTGTCCCTGACCTCTATATTACGGACAACTATTACAAAATCCCCATACGTTTTTTTTGTTTCATAATTGTGACCTCTATATTAAGGTCACTTTTTTCTGGCGTCCTTTGGTGCCCGCATTAAAGAGGTTGTACTGTAATTAATTGGTTATCGTACTTACATCCTCCTCCACCTCCGCCGCCGCCGCCTAAAAACCAAAGAAAGAAAGAGCATATTAAATTGATGTATACGTTTCATCTATATTAATTTTGCCTTAAGTTTTTGTCCACGTTGACTAACACCAGATTTTAAAGTGCGGTCTCTGCCTTGATTCGAGTTTTTTGGCACAGTGTTCTTTATTTGCACTCCCTCTGCAAAGGTAATTCCAATATGTGGCTGTGCGTGCCCTTACTTTGATCAGCCCGAAAACTGTTTCAGTGGAGCTCAATCTGTGCTTTACCCCTACCCTGACTTTGATCAGCACGCAACGCAGTTTCAGGGCGCATTCTGTGAGTTAGCCCTGCCCTTTGACAGGTATTTGTCTGTAAAACGTTTATCAATAGCGTTGAGTGTAGTTCGCTCTTCCTCGCCTCTTTCGAAATAGGATTTCACATGCATACCCCACCGAGGCCGGGAATCGAGCTTGGGTTGCATTGCCGAGAGACAAGTGCACGCTCTCAACGCTTCACCACGTTCCGGCGTGAACCCAAGTGTGGGCAAAAAGTTTTAAAAAGCAGCATTCAATTAAAGAGTTTTTTAAATTTTTTTTATAAAGGCTAAGCAGTTGGAGTATTCCAAAGAAGTACATTTGAAGTTTTTTTTGTTTTTTGTTTTTGTATTTTACACTTCAATTGCCTTACTTACCTGCAATAATTTGATCAATCCATTGCCTGAAAGTGCTGACCCTAGCAAAGACAGTGTAATGATCAGTACGGCACATGGAATGTCCCCAGCTAACGGCACCACGGAGAACCCATCGACCACCCTCGTTACAGACAAATGGTCCACCACTGTCTCCTTGGCAACCACCTGCGGCTCTTTGACCGCCGGCGCAGATCATGCTTCTTGTATCAACGGGCACCAAATAGCTGTTTCTTTGAACACATGCTTGATCATTTGCTATAGGAAGGACAGCTTGCTGAAGAGTGTCAGCTCCCCTGCCTCCGCCAACGGTTCTTCCCCATCCTACACGATGTAAAAACGAATAAAAGATATATTGCAAGTATTATGAAACCTATATATACTTATTTCGATAAAGTTAGTCACCAAAAACCTAGAAAGCTGAGATCACTGAGGATCATGGGAAACAATTCATTTCAAACAAGTAAAGCTTTTTTGATACAAACTGCAGCTTGAGGATGCTCAGGAGAGGTGAGACTATAACTGGTAAAATATGAGCAAGTTCATCAACAGTCATCAAGCGGTTGAAACATGTAAAATGTATCTACCCATAATCCTTGTCGGCCTCAGCTTCATAGCTTTTCAGATGACTAACTTTATTGAAATAAGTATATACGGTCTGCTTTAGATATCAAAGCGGTAGTTTCGATTAAGTTTTAAGCTAAAAGTTGTGACGTATTTACTTGGTCCAACTGCTCACAAAAACCATCAAGAACATGGACCTTAGTGTTGAGACTCAGTGTTAGCGTCTTCGTATTCAACGAAAACATTTCCGTGTCGAAATGAACTATCGCCTAGTCTCTAGCCCTGAGCGTATACATTCTAAGGTATACGAGGTCTTAGAAACGTGAAACATACGCTGACTCAAAAAGAAGAAACGTTTACAAACCAGTAATGTAACACTGGGTCCCAGGTCGCACGCGGCTTCCTGCAGATGGCAGGCACACAGTGTTGACTTGAGGGCTGAGTCGTACTGGACTTGAGAGTTTAAGTAGGGTGACGTCATTCCTAAAATGCCTCATGCTGAATCCAGAGTGTTTAAATAGCTGTGAAACACGGAAAGTTTGCTGAACGTTGGTCATTCCACTCTGACGATGAACACCTGAAAAAAATTTGGAAATTATTATGAATTCGAGCTTTGAAATAAGAAGTTTTTTTCTCTTTAAGAAAGTAACAGAATAATAGAAGAATAGAGGCTTTGCACCATTACGTGATAGCAGCCATGAGAGGAGGCACAGCAATAGAGTCTTTTCACACTGTGAGACTGAAATCTTTCTCATGTAAATTAGATTAGACTAAAGCAAGTAACAGAATAATAGAAGAATAGAGGCTTTGCGCCATCATGTGATGGCAGCCATGACAGGAGGCACAGCAATAGAGTCTTTTCCCACTGCGAGACTGAAATCTTTCTCATGTAAATTACATTAGACCAAATTCCATTATTCCGGCTCCCTATCATGGCTACCATCACCTGATTGTGCAAAGCCTTTATTTGAAGGAAAGGGAGGATTTTAGGAAAGCATAAATGCCAGTGGCATCAAGAAAAAATAAGCCAAGAGAAGGCGGAAAACCCCGCAACCCAGCATGAGCTTTCTTTGATGCTATTTTTACAATTATTGATACTATTTTTAGAATCATTGATTGAATATTGCCTTACGTTTAACCAAAACATTTTAAAAGTAATTCTTTTCAAAACTCAGCAACAACAACTGTGTGTAGAAATTACTATTTTTAGGATCATTGATTGAAAGTTGCCTTAATTACGTTTAAACAAAACATTCTAAAAATAATTCTTTTCAAAACTCACCAACAGCAACGGTGTATCCACTTGGTCTTGGGTTTTTATCCACGCAGTGAGCTGCAGTGAGAACCCATTCGGGAGTTATCAAGGAACCGCCACAGATGTGTCTTCCATTCACACGGAGAGAAATCTGCCAGGGCCAGGCGTGTTGCTGGGCGTTAACGCCATTTACCACACGAGCACCAAAGGGTTTTACCCCACAGGCTTAAAAATAACATTACAGCATATCAATAAATATAAACTGGAAAGAAATGTAAGCGAGACGAATGAAACAAAACAAAAGAAAAGAAATAAAAACGAAATACGAATGAAACAAAACAAAAGAAAAGAAATAAAAACGAAATACGAATGAAACAA